CTGCTGAGAAATGAGCTGAATCGCCTTCTGCTATCTCTCCAGCTCACTAATCAAATTGTCCTTACCTGACACTCGGTTTTGATGTAAACAGCTGGGGCCACGTCCAAATACTCATAATAACGCTCTCACATCAGACACACATCATTATAGTCTCCCCTTTTCCTGCAAACATAGTCAAATATGTGTCATTTTTTCCTGTTGTGTTTGTCACACTTGTAGGTAGAGCCACGCTGCATGCAGGTTAATTTATGTTGTTATATTATATTTCCCTCAGTGCTCACCACACTCAAACACACACATACAGGTATAAGTTAAGCTTGTAACTACTATTTTTATTTGCACATAATTTAAAAGATTTAAATTGTAATTGAAATCTTTAATTAAATAAAAGTCTCATTTTGTTAAGGTCTTGTTTAATTAACGGAAACAGGAAGCAGTACACTTAATAAAAACTACTAGGAATTAATGTGTGAATAGCAACTTATATATCATGCTTTGCTGCCTTGTCTGTCTATAACACTTTCCTGTACATTTTGCTACATATGTACCCTTTTTTTAAAAATACAGATGTAACCCTTTTGCCACCGGGCTCGTTGTAGCAAGGGAGTGACTAGTTAGTATATAGCTAACTATATAAGCTCAAATAACACAAATTGGCAAAGGGACATTCCAATGTATAACAACTTTGTCTAGGGTTCAGTATGGTTCTCACCTTCAAAACACCAATTAGAGAGACCCCAGAAATGACATTAAATTGAATAACCAGAATATGTACATCCGTTACCTGTAACTTACGGATAATTTTTCCAGAGACTGCTTCACAGTATATAAATGAAAAACACACACTGAATGCAGTTTAACTTTGTGTATTAACTAAAAGAAACAAAACACAGGTCACAATTTTATGCAGTTCGCACAACAAATAATATTTCAACCCCACAGTCTACCTGGGTGCACCCTTACGAGTTTTACGCTAGCATGTGTTGGCGCGCGCTGGAGCTCGTGTTCATTTAGATCCAATGCAATAATCCTACCAGTGTGATGAAACTCCTCCTTACCAGCCCAAGAACACAGACCGTCCACACCCGGAAACCCCACGGCCCTGTCGTCGTCCCACGCAGGCGAGTGTTGAGTCTCCGGCAGCAACACCGTGAGTTTCCCAATGGCTCTCGGTGGAGCAATCCACACATACACTACAGCGCTAGCTTTAGCGTTAGCTCAGCTCAACCTTCTCAGCTTTGTCTTTTGACAACACAGTTCCACTCACTTCCTCGCAGCGTGTTTTTTTTCCCGAACTCTTCTGCGGTCCGTCGGAGCAGGAACAATTGTCCAGGTTTGTTGAGGATCGAGTCTGAGCACTTTCTTTATGTTTTGAATATTTCACAGACACACACCCCCTGCGGCCATTGCCGTGCCTTCTTCCCGTTCTCCTTCGCCCGCTTCGCGCGTCTTCTCCCTTCTTCTTCTTCTCTTTTTTTTCCAGATTGTCTTCTTTTGTGGTACACTCAAAACATTATGAATTAATAGAACATGAAATACAAACAAATTCCTCAACACCTATATAAAATGGCTATAACACTGTGCAACTGCATATTTTAACTCATTATAATCAATTATGAAATTACCTAATGATTTGTCATGTGATGAAAACAAATACCTTAATGCATCACCATAAAGACAAAATACGCTCTGGTAAATAAAAGAAAACAATATTCTGATTCCGTGAATAATCAAGTTACTACATATGCTTGAAAAGAAAGAAGCATAACTCAGTCTTGGCACTGTCATGGACACAAACACGAGACCATCTCACTCGCAAACTTATTACAACACACATGCTGTGTCTGTCTGTCAGCTCTCTACTGCACAGCTGTGCACCATTGATGCAATACGGAGGACTCGAAGAAAAGCTTAAATGTTATGAGCACAACTCTCCCACTCCGCTCCGAGCACAAGTGGACCATTGTGGGTACAGTGAGAACTGGTAACAGCTGGACCACACAGCAGTTATTTTGGACCCCGACCCTGTGGCGATGACAGGACCAGCTTTGGCCAAAAGCTGCCTTCTCCACAGTCAGCACATGATAACATGATGGATGAGCGTGCAGACAGGTCAGAGTGGCAAACTGGCATACTGGGACACCTTCTATACTTACACTGGGTGGAATTCTACACTGGCCTTGTTCTAGACTTTCAACCCATGTGTTAATTAACTTGTAGTCTGTGGAAAGGAGCACTAAAAGCTGTTTTATGCAGGATTTATGTGTGAAAATCACACAGGGTTTTCAAAAGACAAGAGTGTTCCAAATGAACGAGAGACTGCAGATGTAGCATATTTACCAAAAACCTCACAGTGAAAACCCAAGTGTTTCTCTTAGGGCACGGCTCAGGCTCAACATTAGTCAGATGTAGTTTGGATTTTGGCTTTTGAGGTTCACAGCTTTTCACTGCTATCTTGTAACCTCCAACGTGCAAACAGTATAATGTGTGTGTTTAATGTGCAGTTGCACCAGTATTACAACATGAGCAGGGCAGTATCGTTTTTCAGCTAAAATGATCTGCCCAAAGGCTAAGAAAGCAGAATAAGTCATTAGTGAGTAAATAACATTATGTTAAGTGATGCCATTGTAAATAAAAATAAAATTGGACTAAGGAAACAACAAACCAAGAAAAAGGAAAGACAAACAGAGAAACATGTAATTAGCAGAAATACTGCCAATGCTGCCATGCACAGTCCAGTGTGCACGGTGCTTTAAGGATAATATTCAGATATTTTGGAGTTTAGTTTCTATATAGACTTTAAAAGCACATTGCACAACACATATCCCTCCCCGTGACCCCGCTGCAGATGTCCAGACTCAGGCGTCCATCATCAGCTGCATATATTTATGAAGGGATTACAATCAGACCTCTGCTTCCTGCAACCTCTGACCTTATATTATCCCCCTATGTTATTGGCTTACAAGTGATGTTCAGGCTCTTTTTTGATATCCTCAGCGCATGTGCATCAGGCAAAGCAATGCAAATTTATTTCTACAGCCCTTCAAAAAAACCAAGGTTACAAAGTGCTTCACAACAAACTAAATATACTTTACATAATCATCAAATCCACATATATCACTCACAATCACAGCAAAGCATAATAAAATAGATATAAAACAAAAATAAACATTAGTGAGAAGAGATGGATTTTCAGAAATGATTCCGAGGTGCCCCGAGTAAGGGCAGATCTGATCTCCAGTGGCAGGTTATTCCATAGTTTTGGACCAGCAATAGCAAACGCATGACCACCTTTGAGCTTTAGCCAAGATCTTGGAGCCTCTGGTAATAACTCTTTGGAAGACCTAAGAGATCTTCCTAGAAAGTAAGGATATAACAAATCATGAATGTAGGGGGGTTCTAAACCATTTAACACTTTGAAGAAACACATTAAAATTCATTCTAAGTGGAGTGAAGCAAGTATGGGTGATAACCTTCTGAAGTTTTCAGATTTTTTTAAACATCTCTCGCTCCTCTGACACAAAATGATCACTTGCCAGTCACCTGCCAATCAAATGAGTTTTGCTCTTTTCAAGTTTGTTTACGTCAGTTACGTTAGCAGCCCTTTTGGATAATGTTGGTTTATACAAATCTTCAATTACATGAAGAGATATGGACTAAAAATGGACAAGAAACAGGAAGAATGTTTCCTTAGATTCAATTAGTTACACTGTGGCCTGCAACATAAAGCCTTTTTATTTTGCCCATATTTGTTTACATTTTGGCAAATTAACTTACCAAACTAGTGATCAGCAGTTCCTGCTACCATTGGATGTATTGACAACAATTAACTCATTAGTAACTAGCTATATAAAACCTGAGTAGCTCTCAGCTGCTTATGTTGTCAGAGGAGCTCTCCAAGAAAAAAAAGGGTGGAGACCCCTGCCTTACTCATGACCACACACACACACTGACAGTGGAGGGTGTCTGCTGAAGCAATCACACAGACCCAAAACTAATTTTCCAGGAGGTCCATGGTAGATAATCAACTTTAGATAGCGAAAATTAAAAAACATGGGGAAAAAAATCTTGCTTCTGTCCCACTTGTATTAGTCATGAGGTTCGGAATATGATGCAACGCTTGCAGCTCTGAGCTGTAAGTCGAATGTAACACCTGTCTGAGTTAGGATCACATTTTCTCATTGTGAGATTCTGTGTAATATTTGCCACAAAATGGCCATTTTTCTCACAGTGGTTAGCACTGCCACCTCAAAGCAAGAAGGTTCCCGGTTTGAGCGCGGGCCGACCCGGGGCCTTTCTGTGTGGAGACTGCATGTTCTCCCTGTGCTTGCGTGGGTTCTCTCCAGGGACCCCAGCCTCCTCCCACAGTCCACAGACATGCAGCTTCGGTTGACGCGAGACTCTAAATTGCCTGTAGGAGTGAGTGTGGGTGTGTGTGGTTGAGTCTACAGCCCTGTGACAAACTGGCAACCTGTCCAAGGTGGACCCCGCCTCTGGTCCTGTGTTTCCGCCCTGTGACCCTCTTCAGGATAAGTGGTATAGATAATGGATGGAAGGTCATTTTCTCAGACAAATATTAAATTTGATACGTTAAATATGTAACAAATTAGCTTTAGGACGAATGTCTGGAATCATGACAAATGTTACTGTGTGACTTTGGATTCATTTAATCGAAGAACTGATTCAAATGAAAGAAGTGAAATTTACTTTCAAAATTCAAATTATAGGGAAGAAGAGAGGGAAAGATGTTTATGTCTGAGAAAGCTACACTGAGCAAGTCACCGAAGCTTTGGCTCTGAGTCAGAAAATTCCCTGCGCCAGCTGAACAAATCCGGCCTGGGCATGAATCCTGTCATAGCCCATACTGTCTCCACGTGTACTGTTCTCCCAGTGTCTCAGTAAAGGGAGAAATACTGCAGGCAAGGGGCGTCCACTAGTTAGACATTTTGAGTTTTTTCCTGTCAATAGTGAGATGAGAAGATCAGTACCACTCACATACAGCCTGTGTACCCTAAAACTGAAGCTGGAGCCTGCAGAGGATTAACACACAAAAAAAAACAACTAGCCTCAGGTGTAAAGGAGTCAAACACTGAACAACCAGCTGCTGAAATTCCAAATCATAAATGTGAGTTTAGAAAGTTTCAAATTTATGCAAATGTCCACTCTCCTGCAGTAGAAGCAGCTCTGCCTGAAAGGAATGGGTCTGGTTTGTGTTCACATGCAGTACAGGAAGGCAGTCCTGCCAGCTCGTGCATCACTGTTGTACAGTACAGCAACACCCACTGCAAGGCAAATAATGCTGCAAACATGGTAAGTGAGTGAAAGAAGCGGTAACCTAGTGTTTTTTGTTTTTGTTGTTGTTGTTGTTGTTGTTGTTGTTGTTTTACATAAAATGTCAGATTACTACTTTTTATAAATCTCATTTTCTGGACAGCAGTGTGTGATACATTCAGGGCAAATGCAGGTCTGGATAGAAACAGCAATATGCACAAAGTGGAGGAGCATGGAGTGGCCATGTATAATGAATGAACAGCTGAGCCACTGGAGGATGAGGAGAAGTAGATGGTGTGTTTTTTTTTTTTTGATATATCACATGCTAGTGTGTCATGCATATTTCATTGGGCATGTCTGGTTGGGCTGGTGCTTGCCTAGGGAGCCAGACAGATGTTGTATGTGCCTCCTCCTAGTGTGTGTGTGTGTTAGTGATACAAATAAAGCATGAAAAATGTGTATGTGTATATAGGTGTGTGTGTGTGTGTGTGTGTGTGTGTGTACCTGACAGTGAGGTTCAGGACTGATGTAAAACCTGTCTGCAGAGGTAGATGGAGTGCTGTGTGCTACCAAGTTCTAAGATTACCTTAATATTTCACTACTGGCTAAACACTACTTCACTACAGGTTGGACTGCTGTTATAAAATGCACGTAGATAAACACATTTTCTGTGTCATTTTACAAATCACCAGTGTGTGAGAACAACAGAGGTTACTAAGCTTGATATTTCAAAACTAATGGCAGGACAGATTCCCATTTTACAGTGCACAAAGACATTGCCTTGGTCACTTCTGCATCAGCTGATTGACAGCAGAGGTGATGTCAGTCAGCCTGTTTCAAGTTTGGGTATTTTCACTTCAACTTGCATTAGATTCCCATTAGAGGTGTCTCAACATCACACAAACCCATTAAGCATTCAGATAGGTAAATTTAGCCACTCAGGTTTAATGATTGATGGTGATTATTTTAATGAACATTTTAAGAATATTAGTGAGAACTATAAAGAGAGCAGTGCCATAGGCGGAGCCAGGGGGTGGCCAGGGGTGGTGCCACCCCTGTCAGAGTCAAAGGTTTTCCATCAGCTAAACTGAGCTGCGATGATTTTCTCTTGTTACCCGCTCACATTGTGTTCCATATCTGTAATATTTTCTAAATTTTT